AAAATTTCAGCTTTCTAGCTTTCCTGGCTTCTGAGTTAGCAACTTACTGGAAAAAAATTTTCACGGGCCCACACGTAGGTACCCCGCATACCCAATGTCTGGGTTTGAGCTCTTTGAGACTTATGTGGACGGGGAACGTCCTCTTAAAACTACAGTCCTCTAGCTTTTCAGGTTCTCGAGTTATGAACTTACCCCGAAAAAAACTTTAGTGAATCCGTGCATAGGTACCACGCATACCCGAAAGCTGGGTATGAGCTCGTTGAGACTGATGTGGACGGGGAACATCCTCTTAATATTACAGTCTTCTAGCTTTTCAGGTTCCCGAGTTATTAATTTGCCCGAAAAAATTTTGGCGGGCCCATACGCGGGTACCACGCTTACCCGGGGCTGGGTTTCAGCTCATTAATATCTACCTGGACGGGGAAAATCCCCTTAAAATTTCAGCTTTCTAGCTTTTCTAGTTCACAACTTAGCAGCTTACCCGTAAAAAAACTTTGGCGGGCTCTAACGTGGGTACCACGCGAGTAAGACCGCCCATTTTGGAGATGGGGGCCCGTACTATATGCGTTTTTGCATTATATGCAAAAATGCAAACTGAAACTGAGAAATTTTCAGTCCATAAGCTTACAAAAATGTAAATTTTTCTGGAAACTAAGTGTTATAAAAGCGAATAGATGAGCGAGCAGCAATCATTTCACAGTTTTGTATTGTTAAGTAAAGTCGTTTATCCTGGAAAAGCTTGTTGTTTGGGATTAGCTTTAAACAATAACGTTTGGATTACGATTACATGGACAATGGCAGGAGATGTTGACTGCGAAGGACTACATGAGTGTCTGTTCAGAGGTTGGTGAATTTGCTTGGCTATGCGGAACACCATCGAGAAAAGTGATTCGTTTCTCATAAGCGCTAAAATTATCTAGTCTGTCGACTTGAGTTTCATGCCAGTAGGAATCACACATGTGGCCGAAATAGCTTATTTAGGAGTAGGTACCTATTGTTTAGTTAGTTTTAATCACTTCTACATCAGCTGGTGGTTAATCCGCTGACAATCTTGACTATTTCTTTATATGTGTGTAACCCTAAAATTCGATCTATTTCCCCTCTCTCACTTATCCTTAACACTTCGACCTACTTCCCTACACTCACTAATTTCTAACAGTTTCACCAAACTCTAAATAATTCCATATTACCTATCTTTCCCTTAATAACTACCTCGCCCTCCTTTTCCCATAATTTTCCCCATATAAACCCCTTCCGAAAGCCCTGGTCTTCAGTCTAAGAATTAACGTGCGTCACTGGTCTGCCACTTCTTGTTACAACTATCGCTACTAACTGGTCGCCTCAACACGACTAGCGGCCATTTCTGCTGAATAGCTTGTGCGATGCCTCAGCTTGTCGTTTTATTTGAAGCGAAGCTTTTGTTGGGGAATAAAGTGCTAGTACTCTTCGCTGTCTTTCGCTGCTGCAGTCAAAGGTCACATAATGACCTAACATATGTTTAGTGCCATCGAACTCTCTCCGAAAGCTGTTACTCCGAGGTTCTGACAATAGAAGCGACATTCTGTAAACGTAGATACGGTAGTTGAATTAAATTTCAATGCTTTGTAAATTCTCACTCGCACGTGCTTACAATAATATGAGCCAAAATGCTTTCATTTTTTTTTAGCTCAAACAATTTCTGGGTTTTTCGATGAATCAACAGTTTGTAGGTTTTCTGATAAATCGATTTACGGTTTCTGAGCTTTCTAATGGCATTTCATGCAGTGGAACTCCTGAATATCTTTGTTCCGATGAATTACAATTTGCACCACAGTAGCTAATTTTGTTTTTTTCCCGGCGCAAACTAATTGCATGCCAATGTTGCAGCACTTTCGAGCGTAATTTTTAAAATCGGTGGAAGTGTTTGTGTGGTTCTGCTGATGTTATCACACTTGCAACAATGCTGCAGCAGAAGACGAGTGAAAAAGAAAGTGATTGTAGCGAAGGATGCCACAACATCCATGTCCGCCGCGGCTCCACCATCAATTACAGGCGCATCCGTGACTACGGCGACGAGTACAATCAGTATCAGCACAGTAAATCAGTTGCGGCGCGCATCAGGCTTACCGGTGCGATAATGAGTCTTTGTACAGTTTCGTGCTGCAGCCAAGATCGCTTGGTCTCGCGCACATCATCACATCTTCAGAAAATTTCAACTTCCCAGCTTTCTACCTCAGCTAACTCCCAAAATCGCTTTTCTGCCAAAAATATTGCGTCATGCTACAGGCGTGCTCGAATGCTCATTTTACATGTGCAGATTCACAGTTAGACAACAAATATTCTCGTAGGGTTGGGTAGCTTAAATAAGAGTACAGAATATCCCTGTAAAGTTTCAGTTCCCAATCCTATCTGGCTCCCGAAATACTTCTTCTGCCATAAAATTTACACAAATTTTTAGGCAACAAACGTAAGTCCGCAGCGTACAAAAACGATGATTTTAGACTTAGAGCATCGCACGTGGAATGAAAACATGCCTCAAAAATTTTATTTCGCTTTCCCAGCTTCACCAATTGTTTAGCTGGAAATGGGTGAAAAAGTATGAACACAAAACATAGGCACACACCCACACACATAGACACACACCCACAGACACCCACACACACGTACACACACACGCACACACACACAGACTAACAATATTTTATTTGAGCCGAATCTTCAAAACAATTCGCCACTTTGGACTTGGGTGCTACAAAAATCTGACAACTTTTAGTTTTTGCTACTTCTGATTTGTTTTTGTTTTAACCGCGTACTTGAAGGCGATCCGTATTTGCGTGCATGTATCAGCATCTCTGTGAGTTTGTTTATCTACGCACATCAAGGATTTTTTCTTAAAAGTTCTTTTAAAATATGAAAATATCTGAATGGAAAAATTGCCTGCTGGAGCACAAAACAGCGCCAGAGATTGAAGAAAGTTTAACATTTCGGAGGGTCGCCAGCAAGCTGAAGCTCGGGTAACGGTGAAAAATTTTCCAGAAGCAAAAAAAGCAAGAACAGGCAGTAAAAAAGAACGAAAAAGACAATCAGACAAAGGGAAAACAGGATGTGAAAAAGAGCGAATATGAAGATTTAAAGGGAAAGGTAGGCGCTCACAAAAATTCTGCCCTTTTTTGCTCCAAAAGCCTATAAGAAGAACGAAATCTAATTCATTTGCAACTTCATATGTGCCGCGTTACGGATACTGTCAAAGTAGCTTCGGCAATAACTACCATTCGACGGGGCAATCGATGGTACCCTTTTTCATAGGTTTCTTAAAACAAGGGCAAAAATTTACGATGATTTTAGATCTGCGTCCGAATATATTTTTAAAAAATTTTGCGATGAAATTGAGGAAAAGAAAATTGTGCACCGAATCTCATCTGTTAAAATTTTGCAGGCAAAGAAACTGAGCTTCCCCAGCACGGTCGCTGCATTATTCTCGAAAAGAAGAGAAGATACAACTCAAACAGATGAAGGCGATAGCGATTACAAGTAGGTGGCACATTTTACGAACAATCCCATCCTCCACAATCGTACCTGGGAAATCCTGGTACGCCGCAGCTTAGGCTGAATAACACGAAGAGTTTCTTCTACTCAAAGTACCCTTGTTTCTCGAGAGTGAGCTATGAATGGAGGAAATTTGTTTTTGTTAAGACAGCGTAAATCTATTTGTTGTGAGCTTTTTCACACAGGTTATCAAAGTCATGGAACCAACCATACTTGTCTTAAACCATCGCTTCAGCTGGAGTTTTGGGTTAATTCATCACAACAGCTAGAAATTTTGCAGCATTTGTTGAAGTTTCCCTGTCTCGAGTTTGTATTCTAGCTAATTTGCAACAGTAGCCAGGCTCGTTATCCTGAATTCGGTCATTTCGTGTTAAAAGAGTTTGGCTGGAAGGTATGAGATAAAAGTTTCCAAGAAACAGCACAAGCCGAGAGGCGATCGAACAGCATAAGATTGGGTGGATGGTTGAGTAATTATGTTTGGAACGAAGAGCTTTAAGCTGGAAATTTGAATCACCGGGCATCGACCGTCCGATTTCCATCTTAAAGGAAAAAGTTTTACTTTGTTGTTTTTTAGTTGCATTAATAAAACCGAAATTATAGAACGGCAGACGTTATAGTACCATTCGAGAAAGTGAAAAAGCTGGGAAATTTGGACAATGTCATGAAGGTAGGCTTTCGCGTGTGGCATTTATTTTTTTAACATTTCCTCCTAAAACTACTTCACCGCACCTCAAATTTGGGTTATTAAGCGGGTAAAAAACGCATAAAAATAGCGTATAATGAACAGCGTTTAATGAAAATAACGTATAGCGAACACCTGTAAGCGTATAATGAACTTTTGCGCTTCCTGTGCCTACAGAAGGCGCATAATTTAATATACAGTATTCCAACATTAGATTTATTTATTTATTTTTTCTGTTTTAATAGTGATACGCCAAAAATTTAAAATGTTTTGCAGTTTAAATTTTTGTTGTATCACGGTTACATGTTTTAGCATCACTAACATGAGATACCCATACTGACTGTTTTGTTAGTTACAGTAGTTATTCCGACCAACAATCAAGTTAGAGCAACAATCATGTTAGAGAGTTGAACAGATGCAAAGAAGATGCATATTTGTGTTTTGCTGTATTTTTATGTTGACTTTTGTTTATTTCAGTTTGAACAGTATCGATTTTTGGATTCTCCACCCTTCTAGACTGCCTCCAATTTACATGGCTCAAGTTTTTTTTTTGGTCTGTCTCGAGATCGTATTTCAGAAACTGGATTGGATGATGATAAGCTTTGCGGACAACTTAGTCCAGTCGCTCTTACATCCTCATCAGAGCCTACGTAGTTAGCGTAATAGTCCATAAATTGTGTGTTGAAGTTATTTTTGTTTTTAGGAAAAGAAACTGCAAATGGATAAAGAAATCGAGGCTATGAAGTCAACTCATGAAATGGACAATAATCAGCCGCAGAAGCCCTTGAAGAAGTCCGTGCATGTGAAAATTGATGAGAAGAAGTGCAAGCTATACGAAACATTTGACGAGCCAACATTGGACGAGGAAGACGACGTGCCCGATTGAACGCACCTTCTGTACACGCCAGAACTTAGTGCATTTTATCTTGATAAGAATCCGTATTTTAAACGCGATTGTTCTTTTTTATTTATTTTTTGGTAAAGTTGCGCAGTTTTTATGCAGTTAGCATATGAGTGCACACACACAACACACGCACACCACACACGCATACACCATACACACACTTACACATGCATACATACAAACATGCACACCCATATATGCATCTACACAGGGATTACAACAAGAAATCGAGGTGTTCATTCCATTTCGTTTTGACGTTTTCATGACATCTACGCCAATAATGATAATAAAAACAATAAAAATTGTAATAAAAATGGTAGTAATAATAACAATAGTAAATACTTGATAACTACAGTATAATATTTACACAGACACAAGCATATGCCTACACATGCGCAGACAGACACACATATAAATACAAGCATATATACACACCTATAGAAACATACGCAAACATACACAACACACATAAATGCACACCTATACATACAAACTCAGGCACCCTAGTACACACAGCACCCATGCATAGCTAGCAAAGTGAAGCTTTGTGAACAAAATTCTTGTTCGTCTAAGAGTCCTTGAATCTGGGATAAATTCTCTAATCGCTTTACGTTATGATTTTTGGATCCAAATTTGAACAAACTTGAAACCCAAGGATTTCAAAAGGCACGGGCTTACAACTGCAGGAGGACAGAGCAATCCACTGCTTCGCTTAAAGCCAAAATCTGAAATCAATTATCATTTCGCTTTTTATTCTGACTTTTAACCTCAGATTCAAATCCAGCCATCTTGGTCCATTCCTATTACGTGTTTTTGCTTGTATACGTATGAAAATCTGTGACTGTTTATCTCCGGATATGCTTGGATCCAGATACATAGAATCGACATTCATACATCCTCTCAAAGCCAGAGTCTGTAAGGATATAGCTTCAGAACTTAGCATCATGGTGTTATTGTTATTATTTGTATTATTATTGTCATTATTACTATTATTATTGTTATTATCAATATTATTATTCTAGTTATTGGTGTATAGGTCAAAGAACAATTATAAAGAAATAAAATGTACTCCTCTGAATTTTGTTTTTTTTTTTTCCTCTGATCGTGAGCCTGCAGTAGCTTTTCGCAAAATCACTGTACCACCGGCCTTCTGGTGTGTGCCACTATTTCTATTTAACAGTTGAAAAGCTAATCAACATGTAATGGCCCATCGTTAACGATACTATCAAACAGGCATGGAGAAGCCCTGTGATTTTGTGTTGAATTGGCAATGGCTTCCTCGATAGGAAAAATGTAGAGTAAGGCGGATGTGTGCACATGCTTTAGACCCTTCTGCCTAGCCCAGCTACACGATGGGCCAGAACTCACTGCGTCCATATCGATTCCCTCACTGAAGCTTTATTTTGTTGACTCACATCTGCGTTTCACGTCCTCAAAAGATGTCGAACATTTTTGTCCTTGCTCTCAGTTGAGGTGTAAAATTTACGATCATTTTTGTGTGAAAATATACATTTCCTGTCTTATTTGTTTGCTCTGCCGACAACCGGTGAACGTCGTGCTTTAATAATAAAAATAGTAATAATCATAACAATAACAATGAAGATGGTAATAATAACAGTAACAATAAAACAAGAATAATATCACAATAATAATAACAATGACAACAATAATAATAATAATAGTAATGATAACAATAATAATAGTCGTAGTAAGTAGCATACACAAGAAAGTGAACAACCACTCGGATTGTACCCAAGAAGGTCGCCCACATATATCAAACTGTAGCTATGCAGGCCAAAATCGAAAGGCCTGATGCAGCCGGCATCCTAGTAACATCACTAACATGGGGTACCGATATCAGTATCCCAGGTGGTCTTCATATTCCTTACGTACATTTTATGTATCGGCAAAAAACCCACTCTCGCTTAGATAAGCTATAATTATAGTCATGGTTCAGCAAGGCAGTTGACAGCTTTTCCAGCTGCTTTTGATCAATGCTACATTGCCTAGGAGTTAGTCTGCCGGTGGCCCTGACATTCGTTCTGTCACGCTAATTTAAGTAAAGAAACGCGTCAACGAGCGAAGCAAAAATTTTATTTACAATAAAAAAAAATGTAAAGCTTGCTGAAAAAAGTGAGTTTTATGAGATCTGAGTCACTGTATTGTAACTAACCAGTTGTTTTTTTTTCGTCATCATGTCTAATTTTGATTCAAAATCAATAAGTAATTTTTTTGCCGAGTTTTGAAATTTCCAATCAGATTCACAGAGAAGCATGCCCAAGTGACCAGCCTATTTAAAAACAAATTTCTTTCATTTACTAATAAGGGCGAAAGACCGGTATAGAGCCCAGAATCGATAGGCCTGGCATAGTTTGCCCCGCGTGCGGAAGCATCCTAGTAACATCGCTGTATCAGTCGTCCAAGCGGTCTTGGTGTTCTTGGTACGCGAAACAAAAGAGCCCTATAGTCGCAATTTACCAGCTTCTGCCATAATATACACATATATATACATATATATATAT